AAAAAAAAAAAAAAAAAAAAAAACAGAAAAAAGGAAGAGGCCGCGCGCGAGATTCATTCCTTTTTTTTCCTTTAAGGCAACTTTTAAATAAGCAGTGAAAGTGTGTCAGGCGCATAACACCAAATATAATTATATGGAGCCACGAGTGTGACGGGTTATGTAAAACATGCTTCCGCAATTCTTTCCATGAGACGCGCTAGCACCTTTCCTTTTATGCGCCCCGATTTTTCTATTCCACTGAGGGTGTGATAAGATGTTGTCAACTTGTAACACGCAGCAGATCAACAGCATTGCAGGGAGCAAGTATTATATACATGTACAGTAATATATACACACAATATAGGGTGCTCGTTCCTTTTCTGTTTTTCATAAAGAAAATCCGCATGTTAAATAATGCATAGGTTTTAGGTACATTAACATATTTTTCTAATTTTGTAACATACTGAAATGTTGGAAGTATGCAATGAGACAATATAAGTGTGCTGCATATCATCAAAAGTAACTTGTCACATAACTGCAAAATATTTAGTGCTTCGTATATGGTACATGTAAAAATAACTTAAGCCCGTATATACCACATGAACAGCAAAAAAAAAAAAACCAAAAGAACAAGCATTGACTCAAATTCCTGACCTGTGTTATGTTAGCAACTGTCAAGGACATATTCCAGAGTATCTATTTCATGTAACAACTAAATTTAATATTACATGCAACAGCATTTTCTGTGATAATATTTTCTGAATTATTCTCTTCCTCATAAATATTTCCCACATGCATATGCTCTACATTTATATTTTCCATTCCAATATTAAATATGTTAATGAATTTTACGATACTACTTTCTATTATTCGAAGGGCTCACACATTTATAAATTTTATGAATACTTTATTAAAATATTTTAAATAATACCCTATCATTTTGAATAGAAAAAAACATGCACCCTAAACCTAAACCCCCCTGCGCACCGTTTCTGCAAAAAATATTGTCACATTTTATTTTCCCCTTAAACCATATATAAATAATGGAAGCATCTTATTTCTCTTTTTCTTGTTCTTAGTAAATTTCTATACCAGAATTTCAAGGAAAAGAGAAGCATAGCATGCGGCTACCTTGTCTAAATAAAGTTACGGAGTTTAACCCATGAATAACTTGAACATGCGAAATATCCCCATATACCATGCCCCGTCCATGTTGCATTATATAAACGCCATGGATAAATGCCGGGATGAGGGGGTACAAACTTGAGAATAGTATTCGTACATATATTTTCATTTTCAAACTCTTGAAGTATATAATTTAAGGTACTCTTAAAAGGTATCCATATGGGGAAAACAACATTAAGCATTACGGAAGAGTAAGTAAGAAAAGAATAAACTGTAATATATTGTGATTATAAAGACACATCAACACATACGCATACTTCTTTTTTTTCTTTTCTGTATTGTTATATCTAGCGCCTAGTTAATGCTTAATATTATTAATATAAATAATTTCTGTTATACAATTCTTAGCTAATTGTGCACGTATTTCAGAACACATAAGGCATGAAAATTGTTGTATGCTACGAACGATCTAGATTAATGATTCTTTCATGGAATTCACAAAACCTTGGAAGCCCAAGTGTTCTTCAGAATTTTTATATTTCCTGTAAACTCTACAATTCACTAGAAACATAATTTGTGTAATAAATATGATTATGTAAATAAATCAGCATTACATCATTACAAGGTGTATAAAGTGTATTCTACATGACAATAATTTGCATCAATTATTGAGAACATATATTTCGCTACCAACATACGAGGTCACTGTTGAGTTATATTTTGTATGCTCTGAATTAAATTTCTATTAACAATATAATGATATTGGATGTTATTAATTCCTAAATAACAAAAGCCGCTTCAGACATCATGTTCGAAAAGTTTCCTAACAAATACATTAAGGCAGCATTCATAATAATTCATTTCTCCCTCGAATCGCTTATTTTTAAATATTTATTTAAAACAATTGTTTTCTGCCTGAAACATAAATTTGTGCTTTATAATTTAAAAATGTGTAATTAAGTACTTAAATTAAACGGGCGTATCATATATGGAGCAGCCATTTTTGCACAATTATTATATTTTCTTATATTGTACAAACAATTTTATCAAAACTTCTTCATCAATTGTTAAATATTTTAATTTATAAATGATAGTAATACACACTATTTACATTAAATAAAAGCACCTGTTTTTACAAAACAAAGCATAATTTTTCTTACGATTTAAGACAAGGTACTCATATTTAATTGGTAGTTACAATTATTTCCTTACATGTAATTTTATCCTTGTTTTGTAGAAGTCCATTAAAAAGAAATTCATTTACTCTTTTTGTCGTACTTGGACACCTTACGTGGATACTTCTTAATTCATTGCTTGATTTGCAGATTATTTGTATAATCATCTATTAATCTTTTTTCCTCTTTTTATTTCAAAGAGAGTATAAATTCTGCTAGTTTCGTTTCATTCTAATTATCTCTTCCCTGCTTATTGAATCTTTTTCTATAATGCTGATGAGAAAAAAAGTTTTTTATTATATTGTCCATATCCATGTTATGTTTCATATTAGAGCTGCTTAGAAAACATACCTATTCGTATTCCCTGAACAATTTACTTTTTCGTGAGTTCACTGTTTATTTACCACTGTCCTTATTTTATATGGATGCATAATTCCTGTGTACACTGTTCACACCTATTTTGTTCTCAAGACGGGGTACCACGAAGTACATGAAACGATAAAATTATTGGGACCTTCCGCTTTTATCCTTTGTCTTGAGTGAACAGAAAATAAAGTGGCAATGAGGTTCCAACGGGTTGTAACATATCTTCTTTCTAATATGCGCATTAAAAGTTATGTTCAAAAATAATATGGAAAAGATACCATTAGAATCAAGCATTTAATATGATATATAGAGTAACGATTATGTCAGCAAACGACCATTGTACACCCGCACAATCGACATGGAATGCTAATTTCTATGATATAATTTTATTCATAAATAAAATGCTGTGCGATTTAAAATGTATATAAGAATTTTCTATAGCGAACGGTATATGTGCAAATACTAAATTCCTGTTTCCCATAATGGGAATAATTATATTTTTATATTTGCACTCATTTATCGCACACATATTAGTACCATATATGTATGTGTTATATATAATTATGAGTAACAAGAAAAAATAATATGTGACACTGATAACTATTGTACTACATATATTACTTAAAAATAACAGAACAAATGTAGTACTCGTTTATTTTGTGTACACTATGCACAACTAACTTTGTAGATTTACGCTTCTTTATAATTAGTAGTGTATCCATCTTTGCATAATTCTTTATAGTCGACTCCTTCCACTAATTGGTTCCGCTGCATATATAATTTGAACATATAGAAATAGTCTGAAATTCATTAGATCTATTACACGGAACGAAGTAAATATTTATTTAAGGTGCTGTATAGTACTACATACACCTACTTGTGACGTAGGAGTCAGCGACTTCACAATGACACAACTTTGCAAGATGCGAAACTGTCGAGCTCAGGGACCTATTCAGAACTACTGGACTTGCTCTATTTGCCGTTATGTATAAGTATACTACACTAAAGGGCAGTTTTCATATAATTAATTTATTGTATTAACATATGGATCTTCAACAGTTTTTTATTACCAATGGTCATCAGGCACAACGAAATTAAAAGCGGTCATTATAACGCATAGGAAACAACAGAACATTACTAACATATCCCACGAACCCAATTAACTATGAGAGCGTGTATATATTATGCTTTCATGTTGTAAGAATGAATACTAGTTCTACATTATTCTTACAAGCACAACACTGTCCTAAATGCTTTTAGTTTTATGTGATTAAATTAATTGTAATTTCAAAAAACTCTTATATATATTTAATGCATTATATGGTTATTACCTGATGTGTTATGAGTTTATCAACGTTGTTATGTGCACATCAACACATTTATTTTTTACGTATACCATGTATGTATATATTATACTCTGAGAAAACTAAAACAAAAGAAAGATCTCATATGCAAAGTTCATAAGAAAATGTAAGCAAACAACTATAATGAATATGTTCATGTATAAGTATAAATATACATCTTCATCCTTTTTTTATACATAATTTATAAAAAAAATGGCATAAATGATAAAATTATTTTTCTTCAGCATTTTTTGCAAATATATTTAATTTAAAATCAAAAAAAAAAAAAGAAAAAACATCATATTTTTGTTGTTCCTCTCTTAAGCATAAACAATTGATAATAATACTTACCCTTGTATGCTAAGTAATTCTCTTAAAAAATGTATTTAATCCCTTGAATTTTAATTAGGGTACTAATCTGATCTCAAAATTATGCAGCCCAATATTACTACAATATAATACACACATAATTATACATAGCTCTTAAATTTGCATAAAATGTCAGAATATTATAAACCTAGATTCCATTAAATAATATATATATATACATATTTATATACGTCGTTTTACTCATAAATCAGGATAGATATCTATTTATACTTTACTTGAAACGGCTGCAATTCGGCTTATTACCAAAATCCTCGCACTTTGCTGACTAAATATTCCTTCCATTGATCTTCAATTTCTTTTCTCATTCTACCGCATATATACTTAGTTTCCTTAAGAAATTGAATAAATCGAGTGCGTGCGCAGAATCCATTTTGAAGTAATTGGTACAGTCTATCAAATAATTTTTTTTCGGTCAAGAACAACTCTTTGGTCATACCGTCAAAAGCTTTCATCCACTGTCTATTTTTATAGTAATCTGGCAGACCATAAGATTTTGCTGTTTTATCCCAGAATAACATGGTATCTTCTTCCATATTAACGAATTTTCTCCTTTCGTGGTTAATCAAAGAGTTAAATATGTAGAACATGTCCCTCATATTTACTGTACTACCTAATTTGTCAATCATCCCTCTGATGTGTTTTGAGGTGGCTTGTTCCAGAATTTTGGATTCCTTACGACGTCTGTCATATTCGTCGCCTGAGGTTGCTTTCCTTTCGTTATACTTAAGTACTCTGTTATCCGATGTTGCTTTAGATCTAGGACCACTTGAAGTTCTGTCACATGTCGATCTCCTGTGCTCATGATGTCTGCTACTGGATCTTTCAGAAGAATACCTTTCGTGTTTAATATTTTCCAATTCCTCTTTTGCATCTGAGTAATTTTCAAGTTCCTGCTTATATTGAGCCCATATATCTCCTGGGTATATATCACTTGTGCTACCTGATGATGTACTCATTTTAGGTTCTGCGAAGGACTCATATTGATCTTGAAATCCAGACCACATAGAATCTGATGGAGCTCTAGATTCGACTTGTCTATATGGATCAGAGGGCTTGTTGAAGATGTTTTCACGTCTAGCGCTGGTAGGAGCACCAAATCCTGTGCCTAATCGCACCCCCGAATCACTTCCTAATCCATCATGCCATCTACCACTGGAACCAGTTCCTGCTGCACCGTCCCATCTACCAGTGGTGCCAGTTCCTGCTGCACCGTTCCATCTACCACTGGCACTAGTTCCTGCTGCACCGTCCCATCTACCACTGGCACTAGTTCCTGCTGCACCGTCCCATCTACCACTGGCACTAGTTCCTGCTGCACCGTCCCATCTACCA